AACTTAAAAACATTTTTTAACACATATTGAAATACATTTGTATATATTATCTTTTTTCATACACAATTAAATTGAAAATACTTTTTTTAATTGAAATACATATTTGTACATATTATACATTTTTTATACATAATTAAATTGAAAATACTTTTTTAATTGAAATACATATTTGTACGTATTATACATTTTTCATACATAATTAAAATTGAAACTTTTTTAATTAACATTCTTTTTTCATACATAACAATTCAATACATTTATTTTCTAAATATTAAACTCATAAACATTTGGACTAAAATACTTTCCAATTAAAAATTGAACATTTAATCAAAACATCTTCATTTTTCTTTTGTACATAATTAAACATACAAAAATCAAAAATACATTTAAAAACATTTCTCTAGGTCAAACCCTAATACGACTCGATTTCACAATTCGCACTTGTTACACAATTCACATACATATACACTTGTACACTTACACCACACATTGCCTTATACACATTTTATCTTATATTTGTATATTTGATATTCGTTTTGGTCGCACATTCGATTTGGTTGTAAATTATTGGGTACTATAAGTCTCATCCCCTTGTACATTTATACCCCCACTCCCGGACACTATTTTGTAATAGCGTAGATTTACATTCCGCAATTTACAGTTTTCCAATTATACCATGGTTAGACCTAGGGTTTGTATGTACATAAAATCAAACGCTAGATAACCTAATACAAGACGAATACATGTAATCAATACACAATCACACTTGCACCCCCTAGGGTAATCCCACATGTTGCCTTCTAAAATGGGCCATGCTTGCACGTCGAGTATCTTTGGCAAAACAAATCAAATGATCATGAGTCTCAAAGTGTTGCCTAAACGGAATGATCATAGTCCCTTCAAAGCAAATTGCCAAAGACACTTGGCATCATTGCATTCATGGTCCATACGATGACCCGCGCCCGTCCCGAATAAACTTCCTAAATACAAGATTGCCTACCAATTTCAATGGTAGAACAAAATTGTTAAAAGGGGTTAAAACATGACAAAAACCTTTGAGTACAATAGGGTAGACAAAACTCTTAGTTACTTGAGATCAAACTTGCAAAAAAACACTTGCCTTCTTTTCAAAAAAACCACAATCCACAACACTTTCAAACAAACTCTCAAAAACATTTGAAAACATCTTTTCGAAAAGATTCACACTTTTGTAAAACACTCAAACACGAGTCAAATACATTGGTTGCCTAAGACAAGGCATCTTTTTCCAAAACATTTTCAAAAGCACCCACACACACACCATTTTCAAAGCAATCGAAAAACAAGGCAAGTGATCTAAAAAACCAAGTAACTAAGAGCCCATGGATAACCATGGATGAAAAGGGTGTTAATACCTTCCCTTTTCATAATCTACCCCCCGAACCCACGAAACATCTCAAAAGGTTTTTGCTGTGCTTTTTAACCTTTCCTTAGGATAAAATAAAAAGTCGGTGGCGACTCTTGCTAACCGCACAAGTGCGAATACGAACGCAAAACACTAGTCAGTTCTCCCACCGTATCACAGCGTGTTTCCCATGCTGATTCAAACATCCTGATTCTTGGACTTTCAAGCAAAACTCATAACACCAAAAATGTAGAGCATCAAGAGACGAATCCAGACATATAAAGAACTTAACTTAACTCTAAGAAACGAAGGAGAATTTCTTCATCCCTAATTCCTGACCTAAGTTTTTTCTAATATTCAGGTTCCAAATTCTCTCAGCACACATAACATAAATGCAAAGTAATTATATGTGTAGCTTCAGGGCCATGAGTAGAGCATTTTTCATTCATAAACCTAAACCTAACTCTTCCTAGATTGAGAGATAGAAGTCCATGAACTTACCTGTTCAGCTTGGATCGTGTATGACAATTGAGGTACTTTCAAGGCAATATGAGGACTTGTACAGCTTGCTTGAAGTTCAGGGATGCTTCTCCAATGCTTGGTGTGCTTTGAATCTTGCTGAATCACTCCATGGAAGTCAACCTGCAAGAGAGAAAAATGAAAATGGAAAACTATGCTATGGCTGTTACAGTCTGTATCTAAGGTTGGGGATAGCTTGTATGGATGTTATTGAATGTGTTTGAGGTGGTTTGGATGAAAACGCACGAGGGTAATGAACTGTGGAAGTCAATATGCAGAAGATACCCTGTTTTGCCACAAAATTGTGTTTTGATGAAGGAGGGAGTCTTGAGGATGGCTTGGTCGTGTTTTAGGTTACTTGAGGAGTATGGAATGTGTTCATAATGTTTGCTTAGGCTTGTGTTGACAGGAGCTCAATGTTGTCTTTCAAAATGCAAGTTTCTTCTAATGTAAGCAAAAGTTGTCAAGTTGGTTTCTAGGCTACCACAGGCCCCTCAAGTATGCTGCACAAATCACTCTTGATCGGTGGACTTTTCTCATGAACTTGTGCCTCAAAGATCTGCATTGTACCTCATAGATTGTAAACTTGACATAAAGTTCACCTTTTCAAAAATGGCTAAGTTACTTTTTCTAATTATGGATTAAATTGGCATGTAATGGTCAAACACATAAGATAAGGCTTGAACACAAAGGATTTGCATTAAATTATTGAGTGTGGATGAGATAAAAGGCCTGTAATGTAGCTTGCACATGCTGAGTTCAAAAATGCCTAAGTTATGAACATGAAAATGGCCATGAACAAAGTGACTTTTGCCCATATTGACAAATTCGATTCTCCCTAACCACAAGGTTGTTTGATGAGTTCTTGGACAATTTGGAAAGCTTGGAATGTGTACTACAATCCATCTTTGTAATGAAAATTGAAATTCCAAGTGGAAGCATGTGAAAAGTGGCCATGAAGTTAAGCAAAAATCCTGCCTAAAATAGGTCAAAAAATTTCTAAGTTAAGAATGTTTTGCACCCTTGTTCCAAAAATCATAACTTGAGCTACAAGCTTCTTTTGAGGAAACTTTGTGAATAAAAGTTATAGATTTTGCAATGGACTACAACTTTCATGTTTTGAGTTTTCCTTGAATCCAAATGTATCTTGATGAAAAAATGGGACAAAGTTAGGAAAAAATTAGGAATTTTCATAACTTAGAAAAATTCTAAGTTATGAAAATTCTTCATTTCAAACCCTATTTTGTAATTCTTAATTTCTTGATGAACAAGTTTCATAATTTGACATGTTTTGATGAAAAATGAATCTTGACACTTGATTTTGACCAAAAAGTCAAAGTTTGACTATTCAGTATACAGTCAAATTTGACTCTGTTGACTGGAAAATTCATCTGTCAATCTTGTGCATTTGGGATCTTTTGAACTTGTTGAACATGTCAAGACAATGCCATTGGGTCCTTGAGTCCATATGTGAGCTTGGTTTGCCATTGGCTAGGTCAAACAGTCAAAAATTGCCTTTATGCAGTCAAAACCCTAAAAATGACCATTTTGCCCTTTTGATGATCTGATCAAATTTCTTGTGGAATTATGATCCAAACTTGATCAAATGGTCCATATGAGTTCATAATGTTGATGTGGGTCAAAAATTATGAGGTTTGACTGTCAATTGACCACAGTTGACTTTTTTCCCCAATACAGCTGATTTCTAGGTCAACTGTCCAATTGATTGGGCAAAAATTAGAATCAAGGCTTGAAACTTGGTATGGATAAACTTGTGAGTCCAACATGAAGCATGAAATTCATCTTGGGCCTTTTAGGTTAAAACATCTTTGTGCAAACACAAACCATAATTTGGGTCAACAGTGCAAGGAGTGACCTTGAGCAGAGCAAACCCTAACTTAATCTTGAGCTCCAAGGGTCTTGTGGTGAGAAAATATTGAGGAAATGAGAGGGAAAATTTTGGGGTACAATAGCGTGTAATGTGCGACTGGCAACTAAGGCTAGACTGTATTGGTATAGGGTGGTAGAAAAATCCAAGTGCTCCTTCTATGCAGAAGATGAAACATAAGCCCACCTTCTGTTTGACTGTGTGAGAAGCAAAAAAAAATCTGGTTGAAAGCCCTTGCTTGGCTAAAAATCTCTCATATTGCAGGTGGTTGGGATCAAGAATTTGAATGGATTGTCAAGAACACTAAAGGTAAAGGGCCCCAAGTTAAAATTTTGAAGCTTGCGGCTACAGAGAACATATACGAGGTTTGAAACTATCGGAACAATATTTGTTTTGGTAGTGGTGTACATACATAAAAAATTGAGGAAAAAGTCATAGACATGATAGTTTATAGAAGGTAGAAAAATTAGAAATTATGTTAACACTTAACTATGTTGATGCTTTAAAATTAATATCTTTGATCTTTTGTCGGATTTAATCTTTTGACCTGAAACTCTCTAAACAAATGAATTTGAGTTATCCACTATGCATAATAATAAAAACTTTAAATTAAGAAAAATCATATATAAAAATGCATAATAATAAAAACTTTAAATTAAGAAAAATCATATATAAAAATGAGAGAATATTATTTTATTAAATGATTCTTATTAATTAGTATTACTTGTATAGTCACCATACTATTTACATATATTAAATCAAAAAATGCATAATATTAATTAGACAATAATACTAAATAAAGAAAATAATTAAAACTTGTTTGTCTAGTCTCTCCCCATTCATCATTTCACCCTCCTAAACCCTAATAATAGCAAGATAAACCAACCCCTCAACCACCTTAACCACCCTCACATTTACTCTCTTTCTCTCTCTCCAATTTTCAACCTATCTCCGCATAATTTCATCTTTCCCTCCCTCTCCCTTTTTTTCTCTTCACCACTCTCACTCATACACACACTATCAAACAAAACAAAGAAATTCAAAATTACCCATTTATGGATCTCATTCCCCTGTCACGAGAACTCAACACCATTTTCTACCATCTATCCCAAATAAACAAAAGAAGAAAAAAAAAACCCACACTTTTCCTCAAAATTCTAAATCCCCCCAAAACAAACAAACTTTGTTCCATCCCAATTTCAACCTTCAATGTGGCCACCATGGAACAAATCAACTTCCTCTTCTTTCTCATGTTCCTCCTTCAAAGACATTCAAACCCTCCTCAAAGAAGAACCCACCACCACAAAGGCTAAACCCTCCATATTCCACCGAGTCACACTCGCTAACAAGCTCCTCCGAGCCTGGTCAACTCAACCCAAACTCACTTATCCCCCATCCCCATCCTCACAAAACGATCCACGCGCCGCGCAACCGCATCCTGGTGCACTAAACCCCGTTTCCTAGAAGCCCGTGGTAATCTACTTCACCAGCCCGTGCATGGTCCGAACAACATACGAGGATTGTAAATCAGTGCGTTCCATCCTGCGCGGTTTCAAAATCCCATTAGACGAGCGTGACGTTTCGATGGACTCGGGTTTCCTCTCGGAGCTTCATCGGGTCACGGGTCGCCAATCCGGGTTATCACTACCACGTGTGTTTATCAACGAGCGATACATCGGTGGGGCCGAGGAAGTGAGATGGCTGCACGAGAATGGCGAGCTCAAGAAGCTTCTCGAAGGATTGCCCGTAGCTGATTCGTATCTCCACGCTTGCCACGTGTGCGGTGATCATAGGTTTTTACTTTGCGGGCTATGTTCTGGTACGCGCGAGGTTTACGCGGAGAAAAGTGGGTTCAAAACTTGTACGGCTTATAATGAAAGTGGTCTAATCAAGTACATCTCTTATTCTTGTTGAGTCCTTGGGTTCCTCTTTTTCAAATTTTGAACATCTTGATTTGAAGTATTTGAACTCTTTGTACTATGTGTTTGGAATCACGGTAGATATTAAGAAAAAAATGCATTTTTTTAACTCTCCAAATTCTAACTTTAAAAATTTCACGTTTTTCTGTCTTGAAAAACATGTAGCCCTACTTTTTTTATTAGCCAATGTGCAATCAAATAGATATCTTATAACTGTTCCACTTGTAGTAAGTGTTTTCCTTCTTGTAGTCTTCGGATGCTCTAAAATCATAGACTACTGATATTTTTAACTATTAATATAATATTATTTATATTTGGACTTAATTTATTCTGGAATCACTTAACTTAATTTAAGATTTTAGTTTAATTTTTTATCTAATAAATATTATACTTAAATTCTTCAAAAACATTTCTGGTAGTCAATTTGATCATTTCCGTTAACTTTTAATTTTAAATAGATTAAATGAAACAATATTATTGAATGTTTATCATAGAATTCATTTATATTTTTAATATTAGTCTTTTGATTATTTTTAACAATATTCACATCTTTAAATTTTGATAGTCTATTCATTATAACAAAACATCATCAATATTTAATAATTTTTATGTATCTTCATCTTCACCACTTTCATCACCATCTTCATCAAAATTTCAGAAAATTCAAAAAAAAAAATTCACTTCTAATTAATTTTTAAAAAATAATAACCACCAAACAAACCTATCCACAATCAAAATATAAAAAATAAAAAAAAACTTGACATGTTAACACCAAATCCCCAACATTCAAACAATAAGAAATCTAGAAAAAAAAAATCTATTTTTCTTGTAATTAATGATAGTAAACACATTTAGAATAAAAACAATTATACATTTACTGATAGAACTTCAAGATGAAATTTAAGTTTTATATTTATTTTGTTTGGTAAAGCATGGCCAACAAATGTAAATATATTCTCTTTAACATTCACACTTTTTCTTTTTCTCTCGATCTCTATTTGCACACAACTTTAATCTTAATTATATGCCATTCAAAGAAACTATATAAGTATCAACCAACTAATTTATCATAAATCCTTCTAATTTAGACTCAATTCCAAATCTCTCAACAACACAAAAAAAAAAAAACCCTCTCATGCAAAAATCTATTCCCATGAAAACTTTTGGAACTCCCTTAAAACTCAAAAACTCTATTGTGGAGTTAGATAATATCATTGGAGAAATGTGTCACTTGAATAAGACTTCTAAAAATGGATTATTATTGTGTAATAAATTGATCTATGTCAAGTTGTTGTTGGATCTGAATCGAAATGTTTCAACGGGGTTTATCATTTACCATTATGTAATTAGATCTGTTGTGATTTTATTTGTTTTATCATTTATTTTATTTATTTATTTTTGTTGTGGATATATTAGTGCATTTTTTTTATTATTTTAACAAAATTAATTAAAAGTGTAAATTTTTTTATATTTTTTCTGTAATTTTATGGAATTTTGATAAAGATGACAAGTGACAAGTCATTTAAGAATAATAAGAGCATTCTTTTTGTTTCTAACCTTCAGAAAATTGTGCCCTGGTCTTTGATGAAGGGTTTCTTATTACTATTATGTTCCTTGGAAGGCAATCCAATCACGTGTTGAAGAGATTTGACAGAATGTATAGACCAAATGTCTAGAACATCTGTACCGACTTCAGCAATTCTATGATGCTAAAGGAAAGGCTAGAACTGGAGTGTAGATCAATCAATGTCAAGGCATTCATATGAGTGGGATGACCTTTGATCTTTGAGGAACAAAATTCCCTACTTGTCTCAAGAACAATTGTATGAGTTTTTTATTCCTTGGCTTAATTAGGAAAGTGATCCTGATTATGAATTTTTCAAGGATTATTACTGGTTTGTCTAGAAGATGGACTTCTGATGAAAATTCCTGTTTTAAAGAATTATCTCATGATGTGCTGGTTGTTTTATTCCAGATCTATGTATCTAGAATAAAAAGGATTGTCAACCATGAAGAAATAAGAGGTGGTTTATTTTTAATCTTATGTCTTAAGAGAATGAAGGATTGTCTACCATCTATAACTTACAAGGTAAGGTGACTATATTCATCCTTCAAACTTGATATCATGATCTAGTTTGTAAGGTTAGTTCAGTTGTGTTGGAAGAAATTCCTCAAGTGGAAAGATGATTGGAAGGCTAAAAGGGATAGAGTTTGCAAGCTATAACTGGAAAAAAGAAAACTCAAGTGACAAAATCTTGCTTTCATCAAAAGGCAAGCTGAGTCAAGGATGTTAATCTTAATGTCTCAATATTTTGTTAGACATCAGTATGCTCAAGCTAAAGGCATATACTTGCACTGAAGATGTCTCTTATGTGAAATTTTGATCTTAACAATTTTATTTACTTTCTCAATGGTCAAATTTAGCATGGGTTAACCAAGCAGTGGTTAATACTCAGGGAAGGTGATATTTGTCTTATCTCCCATACCTTTCTTAGATCTTCAACTAAGATATTTGATATTTTGGCACTAACTATTCCAGACACTTGACTGTAGTAAAAATGTTTTTGGTTTCTTATTTAGTCTCATTCTATCAACTTTTACTTTTGTTGATAATGCTGAAAGGGAAGTTTAAGGGCATCAGATAACTAAAGAATTTAGGATGGATTCTCTAAGTTTTGGTAATTTTTTATTCTTCTTACTGAAGGGCTGATGGCTACTGTGTTTCACATAAGTGAGTTGTGTGATCAAGGTCTGAAGGTATATGTCATCAAGGAAGGATGTTTTGTCTCTTATGAGATGTAAGAAGTTCTTGTGGACTCTACAAGTATTTAATTGCTTATCCTTTTACTTGGTATTAAAGGAAGATAAAGTCATGATGTCACACCAGAAGGTGCAACATCAGACAGTTACAAAAGCTCTAAAACCTGCTATATGGATCTGATTAGTTCAATGCAAGACGAGTGTCATGGTGGATAGAGACATATATATGATTTTCTGTTGTGATAAATAGAAAAAAAAACTAGTACATGTGAAGTCTTCAAATGTTCTTATCTAGTCCTTGAATGAGAACAAAGTATGTTTCCGAGTTACCCTGTTGAGAGAGGTACTTTTAGTTATGTTAACTTCAGGATCAAAATACTGATGTTCAACCATATGTTGGAACATTACCACAACAGTTTGTTACTCCAGGAATTATCGAAGATTCTAAAGGTCTAGGAGGCACTAAATAAGAAAGCTATCAAGAAAGCATTTTAAATCGGAGTTCATTATTTGGAGTTTATTTTGGTCTGTGATCATCAGTTGTTTCAGAGATGAAATATATAATGATTGTGAGTCTTTGAGTAAAAATCTTTTGGCCAAGTATGAAAAAGATTATATTATTGGAGGATATTATAGTCTCTTGGATTATAATTAATTGAATCCTGGTATATCTTTAAGATTAGGTATATTGCTGAAGGAAAATGTATTTTCAACTGGGTTGATTACTAAAAGAGTGCAATGTTAAATTGGATGTCATGACATTGTAGTGTGGCATGCTACTGCAATCAAGGTACAAGGACTTTATTCTTCTTGCAGAACAAAGTCATTGGTTCTTTCATCATTGTGTTAGGGGTCTCGCTACAGGCAAATGTTGACACTCCTAAGCTTGGTATGGCTAAGAAGATCTGGAAGTATTTTCATCATAACTTGAGGTGCAAATTACACTGAGAATATGAGGGGTAATTTTGCAATTGCACTGCTGAAGAATTATAGTAGTAACTGTTTGGACGGTATGCCAACTATATTCTTTCACCTAGTGGAGTGTGCAATCTCAGAAGAATCATTTTCAATGGCATGGAGAATATCATTTCAAATCTTGTAACATTTTCAAGCAGTTAAAGCTTGAAAAGAGAGAAAGCTGGTCAAGAACGTGTCTCTCTCTCCTATTGTGAGTGGTTCACTGTTACTAAAGAAGATTTTATCTCCTTCCAATAATGCTTTCATTGACTAAATTATCGTTACAAGCAAGGTTTTGTTAAAAACTAGGTAACTTTACATGTATTTAAAGGCCTTACTACCTCACCATCCTCACAAGTTGCGTTTCAACATGAGAAATTCTTCAAAAATTGTTGATGCAAAGAAGACTCTTCTGTTGGAAACCAAGAAGGAAGTGGGTTATGGTTCAAATAAAATAGTGTCCCAAACTGTAACAAATGTTAGAACATCTACTGGATCATCCAGAACAGGGAAAACATATGTGACAGAGATGAAGTCCCTCAAGAAGAATCATGTTAAGCTACATGACTCGGATTCAAATACTGATGAAGATTGGCTCAAATCTCCTCACACATTTCATAAAAAAAGGATGAAAAAGGTCTAATTGAGTGTATGCCTCTTTTTTTCCACAAGTATTCGGATACACGCTGTATAGCTTGATCATTCAGATACTCATCATCCACCTAAAAGAAATCCAAGCAACTAGACTGTCATTTTCCACCAAAGCGCGACCAAGAAAACCTTTTTACAAATGGATGACACTTAATCCATTCTGACACGATACGAAGAAACGCTTCAGCCTCCCATGCGCGAGCAACAAACATGTTTAACCGCTCGAATACGACCAAATATGATATACTCTAGCGCGATACAAATAGACTCTTTAGCCTCCCATGCACGAGCAACAATCGATGTTTAATTGCTTGAATGCAACCTAAGCATAACTCTCTAAAAAAATCAACACATAGTTCTTTTCTACTAAGAACTATGCAGCTTTGAGTTCTTCATCATACTTGGGGTTACGTAGGAGCAAGACGCACAATCTTGTCAAGCACCCTAATAAAAAGCCTATTTTTAGCATTTCATTTCTCTTCGCAAATAATTCATAATAATCAAAGAAAATAAATAACATTACGCTAACACTCTATTCGCAAAACTAAATAAATGGTTCCTATTGATTACAACAGATGTGAGGGGGTAATACATTCCTCTTGCATAATCGACGCCCGAACCCTAATTTGGTTGCAACAATGATATTTTAGTTCTTTAAGGGTTTTATCGATATTTTACCTTTCCTTTGGAATAAGTAAACTTCGGTGGTGTCTCTGTTTTATTTCGAGTGTTCGTTACACTTGGGTATTTTTTTATGCGACAGAGATCCCTTTAAACTAAGATTCAAAATTTGAATAGAGCTTTGTTAAGTTGAAAGAAAAGTTAACGACCACCCCTGTGTTGATAATCACATATCCTAACCATCCATATGAAGTATTATGTGATTCCTCTAAGAAA